ACATTTTGAGCTTTTAACACAGGGCACCCGCGGTAGTTGAAATTATACGTTCAAATAAAAAATGCGCGAAATGTGTTTGTTACTTTTATGGAAAAGTGAGAGAAGAAATAATAACTGATACCTAGTTTTCGGTGATGAAAACGAAGTGTTCCTTTTTTTCAAAAATGATAAATATTTAACACGGCTGGCTTTTGCACAGGAAGCCCATGCTTCGCTCAAAGAACCCCAAAATAACAGGAGGCTTACGGAGTAATAGAGTGAACTTTTGGCTGTAAAACTACAACAAATTTAGTCGTAAGACTTTAAATCTGAAAAATGAAAGCCGTTACTTAATCATTAGATTTTAAAATATATCCTTTTTAAATCAGATTTCTTTTAGGCACATAGGCAATGGTAAGAAAAATGTATATCAGAGCCGGATTTTTGAATAACGTTACAGCCAAAATAGGGCTCTCCCCTCAAACAGAAGTAAAAAAGAAAAGCTAGCAGTGCAGCCAATCCTTTTTTTTTTCTTCTCCTCCTTTCATTCTCTTCGCTCACTCTATTTTCCCTTTCTTTGTTCTTTTCTAGGAGGATTTTCGGGCTCATTTTGCCTTCGGCTTTTGGTCTTGTCCTCAGTCAAAAGACTGCAATTTTTGTTCGGTACGTTCTCAAAAATCCAGCAAGGTAATGCTTTGGCTTTTACGATTACCTATACGTTAATTTTCGTTAACGTACTGTCACCCTCAAATATACCAGTTTCACTTTTTTGAAGTTTTCGTTTTCTTCTTGTTAAAAGTGAATGGAGAGGAGTGAATCTACGATGCATAACAATGCAGAGTTTTTGAGCAGGTTAAGCTCCAATGCCTATGAATTTGACAAGAGGGACATGCCTTTTCATTTAAGGAAACTACGTGTTTTTACCTTGGCAAAAAAAATTATAAAGCTTAACGGAACATTCATCACATATTTAAGAACTTTGGTTCCAGCAAACGTTTGCTGCTTTTTAAGGGAAAGGCAAACTCTGGGTAGCCAAAACAATGCGCATGTAAAAATATCTTGTAAGAGTCTATGGAGTAATGGAAATCCCCCACGAAGAGCATAATTCACGCAACTCTGAGAAGGTTAACATGCAATAAGTTGAAGTGTTACACAACGCTCATCCGAAGAGAAACATACAATAGGTTCCGCAAAAAGAGGTGAGCCATCAAAAGTTAAGTCAGGCAAGCCCATTAATGTTGTACATGTGTCCAGTACTTTCGCGCCTTCATTGACCACTGCAATTATTTTAAGACGTATAGGATCCCATGATCGTTAAGAAAAAGTGGTCTTCTTCTGCCAATGGACGAGAAAAAAACTGGTCAAAGTTCAGGGTTGTTCTCACAAAAGAAATGCAAGGAGGGAATATAAACGCCTTTAGACCAGAGAGCGATTATGAAGGGCTGCGGCAAAACTGAATACAGAGCTACACTAAACATAACTGAGATCTGAAACTCGTTACAAGAAGAAGATAAAAAAATAACAATTACACTGCCCTTGGTTTTCTCGGGATTTCCCTTACTACAGATTCGGCCATGTGCAATGAAAAGCGCAGAGCGTTATACGATCTAGCAAAAACCAAATAGACGGAGTCCTTAGAGGAATATTTATTCACTCACATTGTCAGAAGTACAGAGTCATAATCCTTAAGGAGGCTGCACATGTCGCGAGAAAGAAAGAATCCCTGATTTCGATCACACATGTTGTCCAAGGTTATGAACATATTTACCGATCACAAAACTCGATTACAGAAAATGGGAATTAACAGTTTGTACTGATACAAAACTATCGTCCGTTGCAAACATTTAGTCGCATTTATCTTCCAGCATGGATTCAAATTAAGTAAATTTGCATCCATGCTGCAGGATATAAAAAAAATTTACAAGCCTGCAAAATTGCTAAAATACTTACTGCATTTCTGATTTTGCGCAAAAACAAAAAACAATAATGTTCTAACCATGTTAACACAGACTGACTAATAATTTCCAATTTAAGTACCATCATAGAAAAAAAAATTAAAGCTTTGAAAACAGAATGTGAAGACAGACGAGTAGCTGGGTAACCTGTGCAAAGCCCTCAAGACAAAACACTGACCCATGTGTTTCTCACACATTTAGTCGGCGTTTTTTTAAAACAAAACTACCCAAAATGCATTAGCGATGTTCTATCGAAAATTCCTGGACATAGAACAGAATTATCAGATGTTTTGTCTGAATTTGTGATCTTCCTTAAATTGAGTTTCCTGTGGTGAAAGTGGAAAATCTTTATTGCCAATTTTTCTCATATATTTAAAGGGGCTATGTCACCCCACACGCATGCGCGAGCTAATGAAAACAAACTTGAAAAAGTCGGCCCGACTTTTTCAAGTTCTGTCGGAGATTTTGGAAGGCTGTTTTTATCTGTCTAAATCTCAGCCATCGTTCGATAGTTAGCGAAGTTTTGTATTAAGAATCGTTCTATGGTGATTACAGAATAATGTTTTGGCGTTATTTTGAAGTTGTTTGCCTGTGGAATGTTTTTACGTGGATTTACTGTGTCCTCTTATCAGAGGCCGTTGTAATGGCAGAGTTAATGACGGCTACTCCACAATGAGTGATGGAATCTTTGATGGAATCTTTGCTATAGTTCACAGAACCTTTCTATTGAGTTATTTTAGAGGCTGCTGGCTCTTGGATTTTTCTTGTGCTCAAAGCATGTGGACTTGTAATGAAGCGGCTATCGAGTTGGCGGCGGCCGTTTTTTGTAAACGATTACAAGAGCATCAGGCCATGAGTTTCGTGACGAAATTAAACTCCTGGCGAAGGAAACACTATAAAGTTTGCCTAGATTCCTTCTTGTATTTATCTGGATTCACGGCAAAGATAAACACGATCGTTTGCTCGTCCAGATTGTTCTCAACGGACTTAGAGAGGCACCTTAGTACGAGTCAGATCCTGACGAGTTAGATCCTGTAAATGCCATGTTTTTGAACTGTTTGTGTTCGAGCATATTTTTGGAAAATAGCAGAGTTTACTTTCCCTTTTTATCCACGGACTGCTTATAGTGGAGTAGTATACCAATGATGCTTGGTTCTGTTTTTGTCGACATCGCAGTGATGTAAGAAGATGTATGTTTCCCTAAGATCAAAACAAAGACTTGATGTCTCTTGTTCTATCAGCATCTAAATTATAGAATCACTAGAGACAGACAAGTCTAATTGTTAATGATTTAAAACAGTCTTGGTCTTTATCTTCGGTCTAGCGTCTTTTTTAGCTCGTTTGTAAAATACAACTTCGATTTAAAAATTTTGTTGAATAAGACAATATGTTGTTGTTGAATTTTTGTTTGCGCTCTATTTTATGAATGGCATGCGTTTTTACTTCAAAACTACAAGTAAAATTGTCGTCACAATTTTATTCTTAATCTAGCATAACCAGAGAAGAAACGTTCCGTAAATTCTATCGAAATATCCCTTATTTAAACCCATTTCGCTTGTTAACCTCTCTAAATTCGGAGCCTTGGAAGTGACAGAGAACATGGAGAAAGTCACGCGTTAAAAACAATAGAATTTTGACAGTTGAAAGTAATTTGCATAACCTCAGAGCGCATGCTCTCCAGCTGACATAGCCCCTTTAATAGTTGTCAACCGTGCGAGGGACCTTCAACCCCCTTTACAGCCCCCATTTCGTGAAGCTATCTTTCTTTGTAATTTCTCCTTTTCTTTCTTTCTTTCTTTACCAGCTGTTAAGATCTGCCTCAGCATTTTTGATATTTTAACTTTGTTGGACTTGTTCTATTCTGGGAAATCCTTCGTGTTGAACTAGACATAGAATTAAAATTCTCCGCTTCAAGTTTCTTATCTTTGTTTAACAAATAGGAGCAGCACGTATGTCTTATGACATAACATAACATACACTTCATTACGACTCCTCTATACTGGGCTATTCTGTCGTAATATAGATATTAATAATATATATTGTAATAATATTCTGTCTACGGTAACATCATGAAGTAGGAAGTAATTCCCCTTTAGGCATTAAAACATTATACATGAAATTAGGCTACATCACTTAATCTTCAGCCAAAAAAACGAACTTGTTACTGTCATGCTATCACTTGCAAGAAGTTCAATGAAAAAGTTGCTTACACAAACAATACAGGTGGGTGGTAGAGCATTCGTTTCACTAATACGAAGGTAATAGGTTTAACTCCTGAAGGTCAAGTGAGCTCGCGAAATTTCTTTTTTTTTTGTTACTGACTGACTGCACCTACCAAGCACAAAATGCTCCTATAGATTTCATCTCTAACCATGAAGAATGTGTTTTTTTGTGTGATTTTTACAGGCATAGCATAATTAAAACACCAGGGATGAAAAATTCAGCCAATCTTGGCAAGTTTCGATTCATGTCCACCATTGCCATCTCTTGCAATAGACGGTGGGAAATTTAGTTTCAGTGCCTAAATATAATTCAATTTATGCGAAAAACGTTTTTGGTTTTTAAAAAGATAGCACATAGTGTGACGTAGCCGATTTAAAGGCGAAAGATCACATGAAATTCTTCATGACAATTTAAAGAATTATGACCGAGCTGGTGAAATGGGTCTATACCATAAACGTTTATTCCATTGGATAGAGTGTCGTTATTTCGTTATTTACTTGCATAAATGACTATTTTACGGCTAAATCGCCTTTTTGCACTAAAAGGGTTTTGTGAGATTGAATTTTAGCTATCTCGCTTAAAATGCTGAGAAGCGAGGAGTCGAAGAAAGTAACAATTTGCATTTGTAGCAAATAATTTGCTGGATTATCTCCTCGGTATCTCAATATTTTGTGGATGGCGTTGGCCCTGCAGTGGTACCCAAAGGTTTGGAACGTTCAAATGACTGATATATTTTTTTGGCGTTTCCAAACTACAGGCGATTGATTTCGAGCTATCTTTGCATAGAACTCTACTTACCTTTGCTTGCCAAGCGTCGAATATGGAGACACAACCTTTCTTGAC